GACTGTGGGATCAATAAAGTTTTATCTTATCTTATTTTATCTTAAAAACAGTTTTTAGTTGGTAGATAACTGTTTTTTCTATGAAACTACAAACATGGCCGAACGGGGTGGAGTCGAACGCTCAGCAACCTGGAAGGGGCGGGGTGTGAAATGTCTCATTTATATTTAAAGAGACCGCACCAAAACAGCTTGCTCTGAGGCACAACTCAGAACAGGGGTAAAGCAAGGAAAGCAAGGAGGAGTCTGTGGAGCAACAAAAACGAGGAATTAAGACCAAAGCGTTGCAGTTTTATTTTAAATAGACCATAAGTGAATGATTTAGATGTGAAAAAGAAGGATTTAAAAGCATGATATGATACCTTAAATGTTGCTTGTACCCCTCACCTTCTCAGTTCCAGTTTTTTCTATCTAATTTTACAGCTATTTCTTTCACATAGTGCTACAATTAAACTCATCTTTGCTGCTACGGTCATCATAAGCATAATGTGGGAAGGGAGTCTGGAGGTTCTCCCCCAGAAAATTTTGAATGAAATACCGGTAGATGCTGTTTCTTGCATTCTGCTATATTTGCAGGTTGTTAAACATATTTTAAACTACATAAATAAACTCTTTCATAAATATTTTAGAGACAGATTCTTCTGAGCACAGAAGTAAACAGCAGAATCTTCAGCTGTCAGGCTGCTGATCTGGAGGTACTGAGTGCTGCTGGGAACATCCTCTGTCATCAAGAAACGGACCTGAAAGGAGCTTCCATAGTCAGTAGAGTTTGTACCAGTATTCATCCTCCCGATCCACTCCAGAGCCCCGTCTGGTCTCTGGCGGAGCCAGTGAATGTAATACTTTGTCACTGTAAAACCAGATGAGACACACGACATCTTCACTGTCTCTCCAGTCTTTTCAACTCGGCAAGAAACTGATCCATTCTGACCTCACTAAAGACTCCTGTAAGAAAACAAATTTTTATAATAATCATTGGACTAAATTCTATATTTTAAGAATGAGCTAAAATTCTCACCATAAAAACACAAAACTGCACATAAACTCCCGATAACTATTTTCTCCATTCTATAATAAAAGCTGTAATTCAGTGCTATCAGATATTTATAACAAACACAAATAAAAACCTTCTCAGTGGGCCTCATGCAAGAACCGTTCGTACGCACAGATTTGTTCTTAAGTTTTGCGTACGAGTGATTTAGGAGAATTTGTGGCATTCACCAATGTTTTCGTATTC